AAATCTTATATCGCCCAGCTCTAGGCTTTCCACACGTCAGCTGCTTTTCTGTAAACATGTGAGAAATGCCCTCAGTGTGTTCAGTGTGTCATCACAACCACCAGCAGCTGTCATTACATCTAGTTTAGCAGTACAGGATGTGTGAACGTGCGTTTTGTCACGTTCTGTGTTTGATCTGTAAACCTGGGAATTTTAAAGACTGAGCAGTTAAAATGTTGCATTCAAAGCCCGTGGGCGTTGCTGCGCTGCATACCAGTGAATCCCTGGTTGCTCGGTGCAATGGGGAACGGGCTCTGCTGCATAGCCAGCTGGTGAAGCTTGGTGAGCTGTGGAGAGATAGCAGCAGAGGAAGACTGTGAGAGTGAGAGAGAAGGCAGGGAGAGAGACGGAGGAAATGGAAAACACAGGAAGAGGAGGGGGGGAAAAAACAGAACGAGAATCACAATCAGTAAAGACAGATACACAAAGATTACAAGGAGATTTCACACAAATCACTTAATTTTGTGATGTGAGGACCTCTAATCCTTCATAGGTTTACTACATAGCTCACTGGTGTCTGACAATGTGAATTATGGCTTGTCTATGTAAGGTACCGCATAGGTATTCCTCCAAAGAGCAGGCTGCATCTCTTGGTAAAGCTTTCTCGCAGTCTTCAGGGTCAGGACAAAGTCACACTACACAAGGGACGAAGTTCCCAATATGCAGGTGATTTCCTAACCAGCAACAGTACACACCTGAACATAAACTGACAATCTTAGCATGACTCTGTACCAGCAGCACCGCTACAGCTGTACAGGAACTTCTAAGGAAGCGATTATGTGCGTATGAGCCAAAACTGCCAGAGTGAGCAATGACTAACTCATTATGTAATAATAATAATAATAATAATAATAATAAAGCATAATTAAACTGTATAAGTGTTACAAGTCTTTATTTTGTCTCTGGCTGGTACCTCCCTGCGCTGATGCCAATAGTCAGTGGCAGGTATGACTAATTATACACAGTCTATCACATCCAATGCTCCTGATGGAACTCATTAAAAAAGAGAGAGAAAGATTAATTGAATCAAGCGACAAGTGGCCATTGTATAAAGTAATTATGAAGGGGGAGAAAGGAGAGAACAGTACATTTATCTAGGACAGATTAATGAAGCAGACATGTGAAACAAGACAGCACAAAAGGGAAAAGACAGAAAAGTGAGCAGCAGGAACAGTTTACAATTCATGGAACAGTGGAGAGTCTGGACCAACAAACAAACGTCTGTCTAAAGAACAACTAATCACCAGTGAATGTATGAACTACATAGAATAACACTAACAATAGTA